CAATGGCGTGATCACAGAAAGAATATATCTAGCAAATCCTACTGCGTCCTGTCCAACATTCGACGTTCGAAAAAGTGCTCAAACGGTTTTAGCCAATTGGCTATAGCAATGAAAACTGGTAGCTCAGGTTGTTCAGATGGCTGTTGAACTGTGCGCTGAGCTTGGCAATTTTGTTGCAAACGTTTCGTCACCAATCGAGGTGGCATCATCAGTGCGTATTGGAGTGGCATGCAATAGCGTAGTGTAGAGGAGCCAATTTACAAGAAGCAGCCTGCATAACATCCAAGTACCCAACCGTGGACAGATGTGGCTGCATATTCAACTGTGTCGAGAAGCTATTTATGTAGACGATAGACACATTGTGAGTCTCGAGTAACACGTAAAAACGCTCTGGTCCAACCAAGATGTTAAGTAAAGTAAAATTAAACAAAATACAACTCAAGTGCAATATGTGCATACCTCAGTCCTGGTAGAACGGAGGCAAATCACACGGACGAGCCAACGTGTGGGTGCTTGAAACGAAAAATGTTGGACCTTGAACACCGAATTTCCAAACTGCATTCAATATATACATCCTTGTGCATATTAATTGAAACAAACTACGATTGTGTCTCTTTTTCTATGAATATCATGTTTTTATACATGAAAGCTGCCGTTTTGCATTTATTTTTTATTTTAGTTTGGGAATAGATATTTCATCATTGTTTGTGAATCAGACGATGTAATAACTGCGCATGTCTAGTCGTTACATCATCCAAGATTGCATCATACTTTTTATGGTTAGTAAGGTTTTTGTTTCAACTTCTTGTTTTTGTGATTCAGTCATTGTTTGAGATAGACGTGACTCCCAGAAGGCGCATGAAGATCGTGACCTTGCACGAACACACAGACAAGACCTACAGGGACATAGCAAGAATAGTAGGCGTCAGTCCGGCAACCGTCAGCCGTGTGGTCACAATGAAAAAGGAAACGGGATGCATTTCGCCAAAACGCAAGGGAAATGTGGTCCTAAGAGGAAAACCACTGCCAGGGATGACGCTTACCTAATGCGGGAAAGTGTTAAAGATCCTCGAAAGACTAGTGACGCATTAAAACGTGATTTGGGGGAGAAAGGAATAGAAATCAGTTCTTCAACGGTTCGCAAGCGACTCCTGGAAGTTGGTCGGAAAGCCAGACGGCCTGTGAAAAAACAACTTCTGACAAAAGTAATGAAAGTTAAGCCTTACAAATGGGGACTAAAATACAAAAACTGGACAAAAGAAGATTGGAGAAAAGTCCTATTCAGCGATGAAAATCATTTCTATGTTCATGGTCAGAGAAGTCAGTATGTTCGGAGGTCAGAGGGAGAAAAGATTCGTGATTCCCACATTGACCACTTTGTGAAACACCCACAAAAGCAGATGTTTTGGGGGTGCTTTAGTTATTACGGCGTCGGCGCCTTGCATCCAGTCCAGAGCATGATGCGCTCTCCACAATATATAGAAGTTCTCCAAAGAAGAGCTGTTCCAGAACTAAAAAAGACCTTTCCTGACGGATCTGGCGTATTTCAACAAGATCTGGCCCCGTGCCACACATCAAAAATGGTCAAGACTTTTTTCAATACTAATCAAATAACCATCTTGGACTGGCCTGGGAATTCACCAGATTTAAACCCCATTGAAAATATGTGGTCTATTTGCAAGCAACGCCTTCGTGGCATGGACTGTACGACAAAGGAGAAACCTAATTAAGCTTTAATTCAAGTTTGGTACAGGGACCCAAGATGGGCTAAAGTTTGTTCAAATTTAGTGGATTCCATGCCAAACCGTATTAAAATGCTACTCAAAAGTCGAGGAGGTCATGTTGTGTATTGATGTGAGTATATTAGTGCAATTCATTATAACGCTTATACATTCATTGAAAATCCACTACCTGGCTGTGATCACAACACGGTGTTTTGTGATACGACTATTGATTTACCTAAACGACCAAGTAAAATGCTAAAACCCATTCGTAACCTCCACCGTGTGGACTGGAACGCATTTAATGAACTTATCGGTACCATGAATTGGAATACGTCATTCCTAACCCACAACCCTACTGTGGCTACAAATGAGTTTATAAACAACATTTCCCTTGTTGTGGATCGACTAGCACCTACTGTAAGGAGAAATACCCATGAACATAGGGGTGAACTCAAGCTTCTGTCCAAAGCCAAAATAAAACTAAAGAAACTCAAATCGCTATAAAGCAGGAACAACAGCTTCGCAACATTGCTACAAATACACGAGAACTTACTATATTTACAACGTCTAACCCTAACAGTCAAAACCAAAGAAGAAAGCCGGGTACTCAGAAATCCTGAGAAAGTACGTGCATTGATGCAACTACTCAAAAGAAGAAACCCTAAACCACTTCAGGAAATTGAAACGTTGGTTCTAGACGACAGTTCAATAACGCGCGATATCTCCTGTATATGCGAGGCCATGAACTCTAGTTTTGCCTCCTCTTTTGTCCCCAACATTCAGCCACTTCATCCTCCACTTCCAAAAAGAACGACCGAACTATACTGCAATATCCCTGTGACGTTAAGAGAGGTGAAAAGTGCCATCGCAGCCATAAAACCATCAACTCATCCAGGTCCAGATGGCATCTCCCCAACTGTTATAAAACTCGGAGGAAAAAACCTCACTATTGTTACTAAACATTTTCACACTTTCACTCACTACCGGTTGCTTTCCAGCTCAATGGAAGCAATCCATTATAATGCCTAAGCACAAGGGTGGACCGAGAAATCAAATGTCAAGCTACCGCCCAATAAATCACACCTCTGCTGCTTCCAAAGCCCTAGAGCGAATAGTCAAGAAGAACATTGTCCAATATCTAACAAGACTGGATCTGATCAACCCTTCACAGCACGGCTTTCTCTCAAGACGCTCCTGCGTTACATGCCAGCTACAATTTCTCGATCACATCACGACTATGATTGACAGAGGAATGGCAATTATCATAATTCTGTTGGACATGCAAAAGGCTTTCGACCGCGTGCCACACCAGCCACTGCTGTCTGCTCTAGAGTCATATGGAATTGGAAATCCACTGCTTAACTGGTTCGACTCATACCTAAACGGTCGAACTCAGGTCGTTAAAATCGGTCAGCAACATTCTACACCGAAGCCAATAACCAGCGGTGTCTTCCAGGGAAGTGTGCTCGGACCGCTACTTTTCTTAATCTATGTAAACAATATATGTGACCCAATCAAACATGGACATCCATTTCTGTTTGCAGATGATGTCAAACTGGTTTACTCATTTCATCCGGACCAACTACATATGTGTTTGAGAAACATCTGTGAAGACCTATCCGCACTAAATATAGCTAGTGAGCGCTTATTAATGAAGTTCTCCGCAGTGAAATCCCAAGTACTTGGGTACAGATGACGCATCCCAGAAGGCTCCATTATACTTGCCGGAAACCTGATCCCAACGTCTGAGTCAGTTCGGGACTTAGGAATTAGGTACTCCAACTCTTTCAATTTCTCCGAACATGTTCTCTATCAGGTTGCGAAAGCGAGGCAGCTATGCCGATATATCACCAGAACTTTCTCCCTACCTGAAGTACGACTTGAATCATTCAAGACAATCGTACGACCGACTCTGAAGTATTGTACTATCCTTCACAGCCAATTGAGAAAGAAAGACAGAACGGCTCTAGAAAATGTCCAACGATCATTTGCAAAGTTGGTCATGGGACGCTGCTCAAACCTGACTTATTATGATCGCTGTCGAAAACTGCAGCTGGATCCACTTTGGCTGAGACGCTTAAAGAACAACCTCCTTCTCTTCTACAACATCATAAACCAACGAATTTACGCAGACAGCACCGCACTTGAACTGCGGAAGACTGCAGTCTACCCCACACGTAATGGCGGCTACTTGATACGTACAAACCTTTCAAGTCATAAAATTCGATCGAATTTCTTCTTAGTGAGATACACTTATTTGTGGAACAAACTACCCCTACAGATACGCATGTGTACAAGCCATGTCACCTTTCGAAATCTCCTTCAGACCTTCCTCACTATACCAAATGCTCTGAAAATATTTGACTCACAGCAAACACTAGAAACACTGACAGAAGTTGGTATAAAAAACGTTTGATAATAGCTTACAGCTAGCTTCCCCACTACATGTCATTACATACCATACCAAATCCTGTGTCTTTGCAGCCTAATAGTCCCTTCGTTTATTATCTACTCCTGACGATACAAACATCTGTAACTTTTACATATGAGTTGCGCTGGTCTCGGACTCAAGGAAAAGTAATCATGATCCGAAATGCTATTAGTAAACTTTTATTTAATGTTATGAAACGTGTTCACTATACACATGATCGCTCCCACTTATGGGGCCGTGTACCGTCCGTCGGTAAATATACAAATTTATTTTATTTATTTATTTATTTATTTAACAATTTTGAAAAAAAGGTTTTTCAGTGTTTTCGCAGTTTGTTTCAATTAATGTGCACAAGGATATATATATATATATATATATATATATATATATATATATATATATATGTAGGCCGAATCACATCATGCGATGCTTCAGAATATACCCAAAAATGTTTCATCAAATTAATACGTTACATAGTTTCTCCTTCATCCCTATTGGTAAGGTCGAGGAAATACATTGGTCCGAAAATATCCCAAAAATATATACAGGCAGTTCCGCGGGGGGTAACCACAAGCGTCTTGTGAGGCTACCTGAGAGGCTATATGCACTGAAGGGACAAAAATCATACGGACACGTTCAGACATTGCTAGGACGGTTCAGACGTAAATAGTGCAACTAGGGAAACCTTGTGCCGGGTAAAATTAAGAGGCAAGGACAGAACTCCGCGAAGAGTATCACTGGGCGTTCAGATAAGTAAACAAAAGTGACACGAAGCATTGGTCATCAATAGCAGAATGGTGAAGAGAAGACAAACACACACGAGGGCGGTTGAAAGAAAAACGCACCCCGCATGTTGTCCGGTTCGGGGATCAATGAACGTCGTGGTGCGCGTGTTGTGGTCAATGAAGAAACGTTGGCCTTGTGGAGTGTATCGCTTTTCCCACCCACGAGGTAGTGGTTGGTTTTCGTCCATTCCACGTTCACGCGGATCTTCCCACTGAGTGATTCTGTTGATATGATTCACATAGTAAATTCGCTGAGTAGTTGGGTCGATTCGTCGTTCTGTTTGATGTGGAAAGGCAATTGATTGAGATCGTGAACAGGCCAATCGAAGCAAGCAATATGTGATCAATGTAACCGAAGCGAAAAAATGAGGCGAAGGATATGATGACGAGTAACAACCATTTTCCATGCGGAAAGTTTGATGGAACCAAGAAGGAAATTGTTAATGAAAGGCTAGGGTACAGGATGCCAGGGAGAAAAGAATAGTGAATTTCTCTAACCCCGAACATCCAACGCAATAGCTAAGGTCAAAAACGGCCTATACTCATTGAGCCGATTGATCAAGAAGTGCCAGGCAAGGGAGACAACACCACCTAGATCGATTAGGTGTTGTTGTTACCTTCTTGGTGTCATACCAACATACGATCAGCATAAAGTTTCATATAATTTGATGCGGTTATAATAGAATGTTAATTCGTGAAAAAAAGTTAACATAAAAAGTTGATTTCTTCCATGCCACCAGGTAGAAAACCCAGTTAGAAGGTTTAACCGTGAAAAACGATGGACGGTTGAAGTCATGTGAAGAACTTGAAAACGGGCATCAGCAGTACGCCCGTACTATGTGCCGATTAGGTACTGTACAATCGCAGCCGACTGTACGTTATTTGGATTAATGCAGAAACGTTCGGAACTGCGTGCAGAACTGGAGACTCGAACGTGGGGTGTACAAGTTGCAAGTAAAACGCCTGATTAATGCGGAGGATTCATAATCAATGATCCATTACAGTGCTACGGCGGCCGTTTCAAAAAAGCTAACTAGAAGACAGCGCTAATGCTCATCCAATGTTTCAAGGAGATAGGGACGAAATCACATATGAATCAATGGTCAAACATGAGCAAGCCCTTACTAAAGGTGGACCGTTACAAGCTAAAAAAGCGGACAGTGATGGAATCACATGCGCCCAACGAAATCAGTGACGAAGAAAAAGGAGTGCAAACGAAAGATACTGAGCTTAAACCTAAACATACTAATTGCGATTACAAGGGGAGGATGATAAATGATTTGGAAAAATAAGCGAACTTAGCGGCTCACCCCAACCAGCAGGTAATGGGCGTCCATCAGAGAATGTTTGTAGGGTACACTGCGAAGAACTACCATTCATCTTGTGGAGACTATGAGCAGAAACACCGGAGGATGAGGAACTTGATGCCGATGGCGAGCCAACATTATCCAACATCCACCATTCGCCGACTTCTGTCCAGTCAGACCGAGGGCGTTGTCTATCCGGCAAAGTAAAGGCAGCTCTGGCGATCTGATTCTGTGCGGCTGAGTTAGCTGATGCATGCGAAGTTGACGGGATGCTTGTATGGCTTGACGGAAGCGGGTGTAGTCCGAACAAAGAGCCAATCAAGGAAGACCAAAAGTTGTCATCGATTAGGTCACTGGGACCCAAGCGAACAATGGGAGTGCGGGAGGATGTTCGGGGTGAGGAACGCGAAGTCTGGGGGGCGATTGAGGACTGCGAGCGACTGGAAGTAGCAACCGATGTCGTGGTCATCGTTGGACCGATATTCGATGAATCTGCTGATGAACTATAGGCAAGAAAAAATAATAGAATAAAACGTGGGGACAACAGATGACTTCTAATAATGTGTGAACTAGTGACCGGAGTGGCAGGATGATTAAAGTTTGGTCCAGCTGAATAATCAAGATCTGTGGATCGAAGTGCGGTGGAACATGTCGTCATGGCTCAGGTCTTAAAAATGGTTTTACTACTAATAAGCAACGGTAATTTAAGAAATCAGTGGACAAAAAATAGTAATGGTCGCAGTTAAAAAGCTGGAATAATGGAAAAAAATTTGAAAGCTTTAATGACTTCGCGGCTACACCATGCCCGTTTAAGTATCCAACCGGTAAGGCAGTCGAACGGGAAGCTCCGTCAAGAAGAATGACACAGCCTACAGATGAGTTTCTTCATATTTTCTTGCCATGTCCGTGAGCAACTACCTAAGGATTTCATTCAATAAGGCACAACATTGGCAAACAATATACGCAGAATAAGCCGGTTTGTGAAGCATGCGCAGGGTATGTGGTTTGAGTCCGACAGATGCTTGAATGTGTCAGTACAAGGTGCAATGATGAGCGTAAATGTCAGTCATTCGGCGATCGCACTAGGCACAAGCAACAGTAGGCGCCAGCAGTAAGCCAGTACGCAGTAACCAGGCTTCGCTGCCGCGCAACCATCACCGGTCGCACGCGGGAAGGATATTGCGAGGGTCGCCCAGTCCCATAGGCAGGATCGAACCCGCGTCGCCAGCTTACAAGTCAAGCTCGTTAGGTTTAGACTACGAGCAACACTACACAAGTATTCACGACCAAAGACGACAAGCTTCTTAATGCCCTAAGTAAGCAGCAGCCACGTATCTGATCCACACAATACCACTGACAATACTGTATTCTTTAAACCTAACCGATAAGCGTACACGCCTCCGCTTCTTTCTCGTCCGGGAGTACAACCTTCAATGATACGATCATCAGGAAGAAGACGACTACTCAGAAACCGACAGGCCGATTCGAATAGCTACTCGGTAAGATAACAAACCGATGTGGTGTACATCCAGGCCTGCAAGAGTCATTTTGTAACTTCAAGGGTGCAAAACATATGTCTGCAAGAGTAGTGCTATGTCATGTAATCCAGCGAAGCTCACAAAAAGCTGGGTACGACTCTCCTACCAAAATGCGAAAAGAAACTGCAGTGAGTAGTAGAGCAGTTATATCACTGCTGACATCAAAAACACAGCTAGATAAAGGCGTTTTCACATCAAAAAGATGCTAGATAATTGTGTGACTCACTTGAGGAACGAGGTTGTCGCGGTGGTCCCAGGGAGAGCCCGTGATTGGACAGAAATAAGGCCATTCGTATGGCTCTAGACGAAAGGAAACAGGAAGCAGAACCAAGAGGTTTTGCAGGTCAATGCTCTTTTCTAGTTAAGTGCATAGACACATCGGAAATGATATACAGTGAAAATTATGATCAGAAGAAGCAGATACTGACAAGTCCACTAGGAAGGTATCTTGAAAATGCGCAACTTCGAAAAGAGGACGAAGACCAACTTGAGCCGAATCGGAGGAATTAAGCTTGAAACGGTGTATATGCAAACACAACTGTCATTCATCATTCTGCGACTTGATCAGAGGTGAGAATTACCGCAGTTATTATGCTGCAATACAATTCAACTAGATTAGTGGTTTTCAACCTGGGGGCAACTACCACCCAAAGGGATAAATGGAATTTTACGGGGGGGGGGGGGTACATATTAGTTTGAGGATTGGGTCGTCAATCGGTCACCAAATGAAACTAATAACAGAATCTTCTGTACCTAATCACTATTCGTTAGCCATCAGTGACTAATCCCTAGTAAGTGGTTAGTGAAATGGACAATCTACGATGCTGAATTTTATTATCGAAAAATACGAATACAAGTTTGCAAAGAAGTGCACCTCTAACGGCTTGCTCGTCAATCGTTGTTGTTCTAAGTCAGGCAGTCGTTCGCCGGGTTGAATTAGAGAGTTGAGTAAAAACTGAAGTATGCGCATAGGTAAGCTGACAAGATAAAGAAGCGAATGAGTGTTTACAAGGTAGAAAGAACAAAACAGGTGATCAGTGTGCATGACATGTCGATACACAGTGGTGGTAGGAAGCTGTCATCTAGGACAGGGTCGAAACAAAGGTGAAGCCAATTACCTCTGTTCGCGTTTGATCAAGGACCGCACATCAAAGCAAGGAACCGAATGAAACTGGAGTAAGACATACGATGTGCATCAGCCGAAACCACACCAAATACACCAGAAATTGTTAGAACTAAGCAATACCAACTGTCTCATTAACGGAAAACACCACTTGATCACATAAAACTTGCTCAAAATAGGTGTTTTCTTTAACTGAATGATCGGAAGCAATTAAAAATAGCAATCCTTTTTCATAATTTAGAGTAACAGATGTAATAGTAAAGTGGCATGTTGAAATAAATATTTTTGCGGGGCAATTGTTTATAGTGAACCCACTTGGTGGGTGGGTAACAGCTTCAAAAAGGTTGCGAACCACTGAAATAGATGGTCGAAAGAAGCAAAACAAAAAATAGTAAACGCGTTTCATTACGCATTAGGAATAATATCGCGGTTGGGGAAAGGATATACTAGGATGGTGGGGGGAAAACAAAACAAACGTTACTGATATCGACATTTTGCCACGCCAAAACACAGGGTCTGGAGGTGCCATTTGAGTGAAAGAACGTAGTGAGAGCCTTCACCCTTCTTGACTAAGCATCGGTTGGGTTCCTCATCACCTGTGCAATCCAGACCCCGGTCGCATGAACAACGCATGCAGCGGAAGTCGGTGAGCTGGCATGCGCAACACATGGCTGAGTAGTTGGAGTGTGGTACGTGAACTAACGATTGTGAGCGGTTCAGTTTCTCTTCCTGGGACAAAAAGAGGGCAACAAACACGCTCACTGTGCATGCAGTGTTCAAATCAGAGCCAAACTACGGGGGTAAAGATGCTGAAACGAAGCAAGCCCCCGACAACCAGTTAGGGCAAGTTTCGTAAACGTACAGAGAACCGAACGGATGGCCACAGTGTAGACTTCACTCTTCAGGGTAAGGGTATTTTCGAATCGGAGCCACAAGTGGCGGTGAACAAGTGTGTAGAGCCTTTTGCTATATGGTTTGTAATCTCACCTTCCCTTCTGCAGGTGCTAATACCGCTACCTAGTTGAAATGCTAGGTTATTCCTACTAAGTGCCGAGTTAAAAATTGGTCAATTCAAATCCTGCGGCATAGCTTTGCATTATAAGGGTGCAAATAGCTAGAAACAGTTAACAAGCGATTCTAACCTATCCAATTGCTGCTTGAAACGTTGGTCAGATGTCACTTATCTAGACAACATCACTGATGTACTCTAACGAGAGAAGTCGGTCATCTTGAAGCGAATCAACAACTAAAAGGAATCCGATGAAGGTAATTTCTATGGTAGCGTCAATTGCGAGCTCTAAAAGTAAAGATGACAGAGGACACAGTTTCACAGCAAGAGGTTGTTGTAAACTATCAGTCTGCCAGGGCAACGCAAGTAGAGCGCATTTATAGCGTTTACATATTTTTCGGGCACACTTTTCTTAAGCAAACAATGCCAAAGGGCATTTAAATCCACGAAATCATAGGAAATATCGATGTCGAATAACAACACAGACAAACATGGTGGAGGGGTGTGTTAGCGATAAATTTCCCATGCAATTCGCAAACTGGATGATGCGAGTTAACTCTGGATTCCAACCAATTATTTGTTTAGGCACCAAACGCCCCATGGTTACTTGCCCTCCCCCCCCCACCATAAGATGAATAACGTGATCTAATGCTTAACTCCCAATATCTATCCGCTCACACAGTTGATGTGCCATGGTTACGTGCCAACCGACATAACTATAATGTAATTAGCAGGCCGCATGTCAGGACGTCAGTCTGGATGACCAAAGCAGACGCCTGCCCCAATTGGTGAGCGCCGGCTTACCGAGTATCCCCAATGTGATCTCATATCGATGTTGTCATGACTCCACTGCACCTCTCAATGTGGAAACCGCTCGCCCACACAGTGCAACCCGTCCAGACCACTCTTCACACGCCCCTCAGATTTGAATCATCCTCCCGCCCCAGGGGTACGCACCTTCATGTGCCTCCCACCCCCGCTGTTTGACTGAGCCAAACCCAGCCCATCGCGTTCCTCTTCATACGCTGTATAACAAACCAATAAGTCAATGGTTAACCGACTTAATAAAAGAAAGGTCATAGTCCGTTCGTGGACTCGGTATCGTGTGACTCTTTAGGTACGGTGGCAAGTACCATGTGCATTCCTTTTAGACATTATGAAGGATAGTTGTTTCGGAACTGATCGGACATTTTCGAGGTATGTACCTAGTGTATTTTAATTACTATTTGAATAGTACCGTAGTTAACGTCTCGGCATCCTTTCTTGGTTGGACCCGGGACTTTTTACGTGTTACTCGAGCCCCCCAAGCGAATTTATCGCTTACAGAGTGTGCATGGAAGAAGAGGCCAACCGACAACATGGTCAAAAGAAATGAAGGTCTTCAGTTCAAAGTCGGCCTCGGCTAGAGCCTCTCGGCATCCTGGTTGGGGTCCGAAGGATGATGAACACGTTTGGCTGGATATACTTGTTGGCATGGACAAGAGCCGACCTCAACGGCGTTTGTGCTGCGAGTTTCCTTGTCCCTCCACCTCCCAATTAGCCTCCCAACCATGATCTCACTTCTGAAACAAAGTATAATTTTTGGCCTAACAGCTGGCTGCTAGCTCACCTAAACGATTTCCATCTGTTACTGGTGGCTCAGTAGACACGTCTGGGTGGAGTCTCCTTAATATTTTTCTTGTGTATTATGGCGAAATGGCTGAGGTGTTTCCACTTCTATCTGACGTGTAGAACAAAGACGATGCTTCAACAAATGATATAAGGTGATGATGTGGCCGATGCAGCCTCAGTTTCAACGGTTTACGCTTCCCGAATATGGGTTTCACGAAGAAAGGCAAGAGCAGGTAACTTGAAGGTGATGGTTAGCGTGTTCTGGAGACAAGCATATTTGAAAACACGGGCTACAGTTGGTTGGGGTAGTTTCCCGTTCCAACAAATTCACTAATAAATCGTGAAAATAACGAACAACAGAAGACTTCCCGAATGCAAGGAGGACAGGAGCAAGTCAATCTAGTCACGTGGTCATATTCAATGCCAACAGTCCTATCTCAGGTTCGATTCCCTTGCGCGTTGACGCCAAACGAGCATGGCGAGCATTGGCCGATCAGATTGCTTTTCAAAGTGTTCAGTTATATGATCCAGGTGCTTTGAAAAGTCGTGAGTAAATTCTCCGCTCTCGTCGCAAATAGTTTCCCCGATAGATCTCATGCTGTGCATTTCATGTAACAGATGGGATGACATCCGACGATAACCAACTACAGCTGTCATCTCCGACGTAAGATAAGACCACTAAGCTTTACCATCTGTCTTGGGATTAGCAAGCAATTTAACTGAGATTTTTGCGAGTCACGCTGTATCCGATTCCGGCAGATAAGTGACAACGAGCATTGCCAAGTTCCAGATACTGCGTAGAGACCCACTACCCAGACTTGCAGTTGGATGTGTCAAACGAAGACATGCGAGCTGCAAATAAAGTTTGGTGAACATGTGACCAGTGGCCTTAAACTGAGGTCAGGGAGCGCTTGCCAAGCTTCCGATACCAACTTACTTTGACACACATCCAGAATATCTGGCTGCGTCAATCGGCGACTGGTTATGCAATCATAGCTTCGTCGTGGGCGTCCGCCGAAATACGCCTGCAGATCAACACAAACAAGTGCATGATCAAAGTCCACGCTGTGTTTCAAATCCGGTAACAGTTTTGGACGCGATCCCTACGACGGTAACCGATCGCGATATCATCGATCTGCCATGTCAACCTCCTGCGCGTGCTAATGGAGGTAAGTGCTCACGAGAAAGAGATGAGCATCTTCACACAGGTGTAGTAACCGGCAACCGTTACCATTACGGGAGCATACACAGTGTTGACTGTCAAGATGTAGTGCATCAATATACAGGTTGTGAACTTGAGTGTTCAGAGCACCAGCCAAAACCATAGTATTTGCGTTACTACTGTGATTAAAGAGTTCGTTCGCTAATGACAAGGTCATATTTCACGGAGTCAAGTCAAGTCAACATAGACTTTATGTGCTCGAATATATTTGGTGGGCGACATCCGGTTCCGGATTTGCCTGTCACTGTGGCCAGCCACAGGACGCCTGCGCCTACAAAGGGACCATAGGTGGCTTGCGCTGCACCACCCACAGCTCCAACCACACACCCCATATC